GGGGCCGGTTCCTGCCGCTTCCCGGCGGGAGCAGCCCGGGATGCCCAGGGAAGCCCCATCCCGGAAGTGTGCAAGGCCTGCTTGGATGGGGCTCTGAGCAGCCTGGTCTGAAAGGTGTCCCTGCCCAGGCAGGGGGGTTGGAACCAGACGGTCTTTAAGGTCCCTTCCAGCCCAAACCGTCGCGTGAGGATTCTGTGAGAAGTCCCCAGCTCGCAGCAGCAGAGGAAGCTGCCAGTCACAACTACCCAAGACTGGAAGTAGAGACCCCCTGAATATCTCTGTGAAAGAGGAAAAAGCAGAACGACACCCCTCACCACCCTGGGGGAAAACGGCTGGGGGCGATCCAGATCCTTCATTCCAGTCATGACTAAGCAATGATGCGTCCAACAACGTTTCATTTTCACTTGTTTTATTCCAAAACCATGTCACCAAAAACAGGTTAAAAATATTTACACAGAGCTGTTTGAGTTTCTCAGAGCACTGTCTGTCCATTGCCTAAAAGTACAGAACCACACGGCCCCTCCCACTCCTGCAGAGTTCTTTTCCTCAGAACCTGGGCTACTTTAATGCCTCGATTTGTTTCCTTTGCAGGCTGGGATAACCCAGGCACGGGTCATGTAACTGGTGTGCTGCTCTGGCAACTGGGATCTGATGAATGGATCTGGCAGTCACGTCCCTGTCCCAGGGCTTGCGAGGCCTCTGTGCGGGCACACCGGTGTGGAGGTTCACTTCATGTTACTGCTCCTTGTAGTGTTTTCTTCTTCCCTGATCCAAACTGGCTGCAGAGGAGCCTGTGAGCTGTTGCTGTCATTCTCTTCCATGAACGGACCTAAGTTGTACCAGGGGAGGTTTAGGTTGGGTGTTAGAAGAAGCTTCTTCACTGAAAGGGTAGTTCAACACTGCAACAGGCTGCCCAGGGAGGTGGTTGAATCACCATCCCTGCAGGTGTTTAAAAGACATAGATGTGTTGCTTAGGGACATGGTTTAAATGCTGGACTTGGAAGAGTTAGGGTAATGGTTGGTAGTCAGGTTATGGTTGGACTTTGTTTTCCAACCAGAACTATTCCCTGATGTGCTGCTTCCTACGCCTAGAGGCCACTTCACCATCAAGGGTGCTCACCTGGCAGGCAATGTCCCTCCTGGGATCCTGTGCTGCAGCCCACGCTCTTCTGAGCACCAGAGAAGATGCAGCTTCCTACCAGGCCTCTCAACACTGGGGCCACAGAGCACAGGGAACTGCACTCCCTCTGGGCCGAGCAGCCTGCAGTGGGCATAAATGTGGTGAGCACAAGCAACCTGTGACAAGCCATGTGAGGAGCAGCTTCTGCTGTGTGGCTGAAGACATTCCCTCAACATGACTGAGATGAGGAACATGACAGCAGTGGGAAAGAAAGGCAAATACTGAAGTGAGCAGATGTGTCACCAGCCTAAAATACCTGAAAAACTAGAAAGACTACAGAAGGGTATCATGGCAGAGAATCTGTGAACATCTGGAAAAAAGAGGAGCTGACTCCACTTCTGTGTATACTTCCTCTGGATTCTTAGGGATATCTGGCAAGTTAACAGGGCCCAGTTCTGCATGGCTGTGCAGGCACCCAGCTCATCTGTCCAAGTATGAACCCCCTTTACCTCCGCTGCCAGCAGCTTGGCTGTCAGCTACTCAGGCTTAGCACTGTGGCAACATCACCGTGGCCAGCTGCTCCCCTGTGAGGTAGGTAGTTTACCTGTGCAAGGATCATTCGTCCTTCAGTGGCACATCAAAGCCTTACTGTCCATCTCTTTAAAAACCTGACACAAACATCAGAAAACTAAGCTCTAAGCTGTCAAAAAGGGCTACCCCAAATCCCACTACTTGCTTCTGTCAGAGAACACCAAGTGCTATGACACAGGTGAGAAAACAGTGACCACCTGCCAAAAATGGGCATGTATCTCCCACCTGAGTGTAGCTGACAGTTTGTGTACCTTGCCCTAGAGTACACTGGACTTACTACTTACTACTAAGTCCAGTAAAATTAACCAAAAAGCTTCTCACGGACTGAACATGATTTAGGACCATTCTGAGACAGGTAGTAACAAAGTCCCAAATGCTAACGACCTTCTTGCAGCCATGACCATAACCATCCCATTAGAAGGCTGTAATCCAACATTCTACTTAACATTCTTATGGCAACAGTGTCACTGGGCCCCGCTGTGTGACAGCAATTTCCAAGTTAGCCTATTGCTGTTCTCTGTAGTTCAAGCGTAAAAGATAGGAAGTCTGAGAGAACAAGAAAGAAGATACACTGATCTTCAGATTTCCACAGAGATCAGTTTGAGCTGAAAAGAAAAACTAAGAAATCTCTACAGTTCTGTTTTCAGCCATTTAGAAGTGATCTCGCTGTAGCTCTTCCTCCTTTTCACTTTGTAAGTCAAGGCTTGGGAATACTCAGACAGCAGATGCTCCCAGTAGCAAGAGACATCCTCCATCTGCAAGTGCTCAGTGATGAATTGGCGTCCCCTAGAGACACATAAGGCACAGTCAGAACCAATTTCCAGGTCCTACAACAGTCTTTGGTTTTGTTTGATACGTATATCAACTTTCACTCTTCTGTGTCTCAGATGAGAAACAACACACACCGCTCTGTGCCGTCTATTTTAATTTCACACTTTTCATTCACGCTCCCAGCTCTGACAGTTGCAGTGCTTTTGCTATCCTCAAGATGGTATTTGTTATCTGGGATAATAAGTATCAGATTTCACATATCAGATCCAGCCTGAGCAGCACTGGCACGTGCTACTTCAGGAGCAGGTCGCTGCCAGCCAGGACACAGAGTGCTTATAATGCAGACTCAGTGCCCAGGGGTCAACTCACCTCAGACAGAGGTAAAAGCTCCCAACTGCTGGTGGCTTTCAGTGGGATTCCTGACACGGGTCACATCTGAACCAAAGACCTAGGCACATAGTCTTGTTCTCCAGCTACCCCTGCTTGCTACAAGTTCCCATACCCTCCTGCAGTTATTACAAAGCAGTTATGCTGCGCACTATTAACACGAGGTTTTCTTTGTTAGGTAACCCCTTCATAAGCAGCATAAGAAAATGTTTTGTAAGAGGAGTGCCTGATAGCCAGAAAGGACACACAACTCACCTCTCTGAAATTTCTTGTGCTATGGCATCATTTTCCTTTACAAACTGCAACAACTCCCTAAAATGAAGAAAAGAAAAATTAACTAATTCAATGGGAACACTGTCCTTTAGTGAAGCTACAGTGGAGGATGAGATTAAGGATCTACAGACAACTGAGAGAGAGACAGGTGTTCCTCATTTCAAAGCACAGAAGAAACCTGCCATTCTGAGTTGCTCTGTACCAGTTTTGGACAGCATGCTGAAATCTGGAAGCTAACACATTTTTGGCTAAGCAATACGTTCCTCTCCCCCTCATCTGTGCTGCAGATTTAAGTGTCTAGTGCCTGCTGCTTTCAGTGAGGATGACAGACCTCCATACTCCAGGGAAGCTGTAACCTCTAAGTAATACGAGCCAAGGATTCTTTGGGGGCAGTAACAGAGACAAGAACACGACCTCCACAAGCCTTTTGCCTGATGCCTAGGAGTGGAGGCTCTTCTTGGCATAATACAAACCAAACTGCCTTCCCAAACACAGCGGTGTTCCTGCAGCACGGAAATGCTCCCCTGAGGTCTCACACCTGACATCAGAGAGGTCTGATCGGACTGGAATGTAGTGGACCCAAGGCTTCAGCTGGGGGTAGAAGAACTCCAACCACTCTTCTCCAACGTGAAAGACGAGGGAACCGCACAAGAAGAGGTGCTTCAACCGGAAACTGGCAGCCACTCCCCGGAAATTAAACAGATACCTTGAAAAGGAGAAGCAAAGAGAGGGACCTGATTACATTCAACATTTTGTGAGGAAATACCCTAAGGAGCTGGGCCTCCAGTAGCAGTCAGCCTTCCCCCATAGGGAGAAGCCTTGGGTAAGAGGGGGAATCTCCCTCATGCTGAGCCAAGTTCCTGTAGCTGAAACAAAAGGAAAACATTTATTTGAAGCTCTTCACAGAAAAGGTGAGCTGAAGTTAAGGATGTGCTAGTTGAGCTTCTGCTGCCTGTCAAAACTGAGGTTCAAAATCAAGGCACACTGCTTTACCTCTGATAAAGACACCTGCCTACAACAATCCAAAAAAGCCCACATGGACAACTGCCAACAATGCATGGAAGGTGAGAGCACGGATGCTGATCCTGTGACCCTACACTTCAGAGACTCAGTTACCACAAGGAGCTTTTTTCCCAATTCTCTCTTGTCTTGCAGTGAGCTTTTTCGTTCATTTTTCTGCTTTGCCACATCTATGTCTGCAGTTCTTGGGTTTTTTTTCCCCTCTGAGATTCTGCTTTAATCTGAATCTAATTGTTTCACATGAACTTGGGAACAGAACCCAAGAAGGTTAAACAGACTAGCACACAAGAGATGGACTTTGTGGAAAACAAGAAACCCACAATTTTGGTTTTGGCATTTTCTGCCAAGTTACTAAAGTGGGCTTGACTAGGGGAGTGGTTCTCTTTATAAACTGTATCTCAGAGGGATGTTTGTTTGCTTACTTGCTTGCTTTTTTACACCCACGTTTCTCCAATTATATGGAAAGCCGTTTTTTCCTGTGGGTAAAACCCCTCAGTACATATAACTAATCTTTGAAGTCAAACATTCTGGGCTAGGGGGAGTTCTTCCTTTAATTAAGCTATTTTGGGTGAGATAGGGATTATATATTTGGGGTAAGATGGTAATTGTAGCTAAAAAAGTTCAGCAGTAAATGACAAGGAGTAAATCTGACATTATTTTGCATTCTTTGTATTACCTAGGAGGTCAGGACAGCGATAAGGAGCTTGTTTTATTAGGAACTGTACAAATACATGTAGAGATGTAACGAGAACTGCAGTGTGGAAGTGAGGAAATGCCTCTGTCCAATTTCAGACACAGCTCCCACCACGCTCTCTCAACCAAGTCACCAAGGCTGCTCTCAGCCAGCCTGCTGCAGCACCTACGCTGAAGGAAGCAGTGAGAAGTTCATGGTGACCCTACCAGATCTGGTGCTATGACAAAAGTAAGTCAGAATGTCTCAGCCAACACTGTACAAGGGGCTTAGGAGGCATCAGGAGTTGGGAAGTCTATGTGTAACAGAAGGGAGAAACCTGGGCAACAGGCTAGTGAAATACAAAAGGTGACAAGTCAATCACATTTGCACAAAAATACAGATCCAGCCAAATGCCTGAGCTCTTACATCAGTGTATTCTAGCTGGTAGAATTGTAACTAAGTACTTTCAAAGCAAAAGAAAAAAGCAAAATATCATGTATACACACTAAGAGTTCACATTTTCACACAGAAACCCACAAGAATATTACACCAAACACTCCCCTCCAATTAGCTAAAAATAAAAAAACTTTGTAAATCAAAACCACATTCTTCCAAACAAAAAAGTATGAATCAACACCATATCTGCTCAATCACATTTCACATTCTCTCTTTTACTACAGACATACAATGGTAACACTTGCCCCATTGTGCATATGAAGACATGATTTCTCAGGTCCTTAAGTCTTTGAAGACAGTAACGTTATCACTGTAGCATCAGATAAAACAAATATGAACACAAAGCTTGGTATAGGAATATAAAGAAAAAAATATAGAAAACCTTTTGATTAAAAAAAAAAATGTTACCATCTATGGGTTTGTTAGTGATCTAAGATCTTTACTTTCCCCAAAGCACTTTACTTCTCCTGACCTGACAGGAAGAAGCTGACACAGAAAGAGGCCACGCTAAGCTCTCAAATTTTCAACTGCCTTAAGTCTTGTTTACAAGCATTCTTGTCTGCTTGGAGCTGGTTGCTGAAATTAAACCTTAAAATAAAACCTTACACCATGGAAAGAAATAAATAACCCACAGCCCTCAAACAGCTTTACTAGACAAAACTCTTACTTGTATTTGCAGTGATCAACCAGTGGAACTTCCTTTGCAGGAGGCTTCCCTAAGGTGTCCTTAAAATAAAAACAAAAAAAGTCAGTAAACTTTCTATGGTGATTTCATATTTGTTTTCCTTCTCAGTTAGAAACAAAGCTAAGTCTCAAAACCCTCCATGCCCACTTCTGAAAAAACCTTCTCTGGTGGGCTTTTAGAAGTATGATGGAGAATTCCCAGCCCTTCAAAGAAGAAAAAACGTTCAGTAAATTACACACTGCCTGTAAGCACATGCCAGCACAAACACATTAAATGATAATGTTTAGTTGGCAGCTACAGAGTGGAAAACAGCTTAGGACAATGGACTACGTGACGCCAAGTGTAACCGGATTAGCCAAGACTGCCTGGAGAGAACTGGACTGTAGACTAAGTATGGAACTAAAAGTTACCAGCAACAGTTATCAGAAAGCTATCAACAAGACCAAGAAAGGGAGATGACAGAAAAATTCTTAAAGAGACTGACAACACACAGGCAGCTAGTTCAGGGCTGGAAGGGGAAGAGTTGGCTAATTTGGATGCGATGGAAGAGGAGGAGACTGGCACAGGTTCATTTTCTTATGTGTGCTGGTTTCCTTGAACAAAAAGCGTAGACAGTTGAAAAACATTTGTTTGGCCTGTTAGGCTCTAGAGACTCCTTCCTTTTATCTGTCAGTTAGGTGTGGCCATCAAGGGAACTACAAGCCTCCCCCACTCCAGAGGATCACCCACAACTCTCAAGATGCATTTAAATCAAAGCCATCCTGCAATGCTACTCTTTCTGGCCTTCATGCTCAGGAGGCAGACAACACCCATGCACCTTCTCAGATTTCCAAGCCTGGTTTTTGGTGTACTCAGCATCAACGAGCTCTGGATTTTCTCGGGATAGCAGAATGAGGGGATCTCTCTCAGGGCTCGTTCTGCAAAAGAAATGCTATCAGTCATTGCCAATCCACCTGATCCAACACAGCCAACAAACTACTGGACCTTCCTGCCTTTTGATGAGGTTGACTTCCCTATGGTTCCTGAAAACATTATTAAGTGTCTTACCATAGAGAGTGTTTCTGTCCAAGGGTGTTTTAGCAGAAGAGAATGACTTATATGTACCAAAACTATTTGGTGCTGTTTATTTATTTCACTTACTAAATATTTAATAGCATTATTTAAGTAATTCTCACGACAAACCAGCAGAGATGTTGTTTCCTTCAGGCCTCATCCTGACAGGTGCCAAATACTTTAGTTCCCTTCTAAGTCAGAGAGGGAGCTAAGAGATGCTAAGCACCTTCACAGCACTTGATCCCTCCAACACTAATTTAGAACACAATTGATAAACAAGGTTAGGACATCCCTGAGACCCACTCATCATCATCTCCTGAGCCTACCTGGTCAAACATCAACCCCACCTTTATTTGGGATGAAGGAGGACTAAAATGGAGTAGGGGTTAACGCTGTTTTCAAACTGCCACTGGAGAGAGGGAAAAAGTAATCTTATCCCCCACCGCTCAGATAATTTAATGCAAGGGTACTTTTTGATTCACTGTTGAGCACCTGCATAGCAAATGAAGTATTCACACTGGCAAGAAGCACGCACATCAATATCAAACCTTTGTATTTGTATCCTGCACCTGCAGTTCCCCTCACAGAACAAGCTGGTTCCTAGTGTGACAGTTTTACTCATTAAGAAGTAACGCAGCAAATCCATCACAACTGCTGTTTCCAATATTAGACTTATTATAAACTAGTAGCAAATTGCAGTTCTCACAGAGAATCACTAATGGGGAAATGCTGCTGTACAAAATGTCTCCCTTTTCTTACTTTTGAAAACATACATTCTGGGCTACATTTGTTTAGGTCTTGGAGAGACAGAATAATTGCAGAGACAGCTGTCATGGCATATTTTGATAGAATCTTCTGCTATAGGAAAACATGCTCACCTGGATCCTCGAAAATATCCTTTAGGGATTTTTTTCACCCATGGCCACTTTTCTGCAGATCTGAAAATATTGTTTATACATGGCAATAAATTATTTAATATAATGATGAAATAGTATTCTCATCAGTTTTCACAGCATGGTCTCTTTCTAGTATTCTTCATTTTTGATGGAAATCACTTCCTTCACTATAGCAGAAAAACCTCAGCCAGGTCCCATGAAACAGGTTTTCCTGTGAAAACTCCGTTTAAGGCAACATGGCATAGGCTACTTTTCAGAATACTTTCCAGTCAAAACAATTAATTACACACAACCCCATCAGCAAATATTGAAGGGTATTAAAAATTACCTAAAATTTGAATCTGTTTTTTTGCATTGTTGTTTTATTTTTCTGTACTTCACTGAATATGGATAGTGTAAAATTACTATAATCACTGTCAGTTATTTAAAAAAACAAACCAACAACAACCAACCAAACCTGCCTAGTGTTTTGCATTAAAACACAGGGTCTTATTGTTTCCCCAAGTAACTAATTTTAAATCTAAATGAGTCTTTCAAAACAGCAGTTTAATTTCTGTCAGCGTAGTCAACTGCCTCCTTCTGGGAAGCTCTTTGTTGCACTTTTTTTTTTCACTGGGCTTGACATGTAGGTCCTGATGCCCAAACTGATCTGTACAGGTCAAGCTCTGCATCTGCTTGTAACCCAGTGATACAAGTGGGATTCACTGGGAAAAAGGATAAGTACATGCTTTGGACCTTCATTGTATGATATGATATCACATTAGGCTTCAGCTATGATTAGTCCCATAGATATTCAGCCTTTGAAGAGAGGAATATTCAGTCTTGCATTCTGATGTCAAGTGACTGACATAAAGGTTTTGACTTTTTTCTTGTTATGTTTCTATGTTTACTCCCTGTTGCACACTTTGTTTGTCACTCTCAATAGGAAACAGTCCCTTATTCTGCTAATAGTCAAAGATCCTGCCAAAAGAAAGTCTCCCAGTCAGGAAAGTCTTCTTACTCTCAATCCCAGTAATAACTCCTATTCTTGGGAATGATTCCAAGTTTCTCTATTGCACAACAATACTCAAGTAAAAGCAGATCTAAAGAAGGCTTTCCTTTACCCTTCCAGAAGCTTATACAAACATCCTGGATCATCCCTGCAGTGAAAAATCGACAGCTCTTAGAGAAGTAGTTGGAAAAAAATGAAAACGTTTCCATGTGTCAGGGGAGATTTCTGCAGGCAAAAGATAACTGCTGCTTTATTGACAAACCCTATCCCAGCAAAAATGATAGTAATCTGGCCCTGACAGCATGAAGAATGCATATACTTTGTGCTCTGCATTCCTTACTAAAGTTTTGGAAGCACAGGAGCTAATTATAACTTCTAGTTACATCACCCAAGGTTTCCACGGAGAATTCTTATACAAGAGTGAGGCTGAACATAGTGTACAAGAGGCAGCAGGACAGAACACAGGCCAACAGACCTGTGGTCTTAGACTTCCGTGTTGCCCTAATGGTGTCCAGTGCTAGATGTTTTTTACTCTGAGTCTCTCTTCCATTAACCCTCCCTCCCCCATGTAACCATTTCCAAAACATACCTCTTGAGGTCCTCTCTCATGAGGTCCCAGCGCCCTAAGCCTGTCGGGTAAATTGGCCAAACAGCTGGTCCTCCTTCCCAAAATGTCCAGGCAGGATACATAATATCATTGTATTCAGGTGTCTTAGGAAAAAGGAGAGTACAGTAAGAATAAGAGTAGTATGCACTTCAGTTTACTGACTGAACTCACCAGAAATGAACAAGCCTTCCAGGAGTTCATGGTCACCATTGTGTCACTGGGGTTAATATGAAGACAACCCAATATAGGAATGTTTCCAAGATTTAAAAAAGGCCATGGCTTGCTGCATGACAACAGGTTAGAAAATAACAAGGGTTCCACAATATAGCTGATATAGTAGATATAGCAAACTGCAGAAGACCTAAACTCCATTCACCTCTCTAAAGACTCGTACCTATGTGTAATTACAAATGTTTTTTACTGATCCTAAGTTAAAAGGCATTATTAGCTCCTCAGAGACAGAGGCACTTACAAACACTTTGACATTTATGTTTCCAACACTTCAGTTCATTCCAGCCTTCCTAGAGATCACTTAACAATTGACTGTCACAAATATCCAGGTCATAAAAGAATTTCAGCTCCTCACTCCTATTTGGATGCTTAAACTCCTACATAATGAAACGGAAGATCAGCACTCCAGGAAGACTAAACCCTTTCATGAAATCAGACTATAGCCCACTTCTTTGCACTAATAATAAACTTCCTATACAATTATCTGTCACCTGGAGATACTGGATGGAGTCCAAGGCCACCAAGGTAGTTAGGAGGTCAGTGCAGATGACACATAAACAGGGGCTGAGAAATGGGTTTGTTCATGCACAGAAAGAGGAGCCTTAGGGGAATCTAAATGCTGTCTTCTACTACCTGATGAGAGAGTTCAAAGAAGGTGAAGGCAGACTCTTTTCAGAAGTGCAGAGACAGAATGAAATGCAACAGGCTTTGATTGCAAGACGGGAAATTCCAAGTAGATACTGGGAAATGTGCTTTCATGCTGAAGGAGTTCAAACACTGGCTGTGGATACCTTGTACTCAGGAAGCTCAGAGTGGGCAGGACACAGGCACCCTGATCTAGCTGGTCAATGTGTCTCTATGTGTGAACATGCCTCTGCATGTGTGTGCATATCTGAAGGTGGAAAAGGGAATCAAGGGGGAAAGGTTTCACGAGAGAGCAATATTACAGAAAAGAAGATAAGAAACACTTAGCTGTGGTACCAAAAGAGGGCATACAATATTCATATTAAATGAAATTAACTGTGACAGCTGCCTGATGACCAAAAATACCTAACAATGCTGATAAACTACAGCCACAATTGTAACAGAGGCACTGCATCAAATTACAGCGATGCTGGCACATATCCCATCTAGTTGTGGATCATTCCACTGTGACAGAGGTACATTTTTTGACCTGGAACAGGAGCTAATGAGGGGAAACACTGTCCTATTGAATAAATCTACAAGTCTGCCTGCCAGAAAACTGGAAGTAAAAGGAAAGATAAAGAGCAAAAAAAGAGCAAGCAATTTTGACACAGAAAATCTGTGGGGAATCATCCTCAAAAATATGTTATCAAGAGAAAGGAGGACAAGCATGTCTCAAATGCTCAGCTTTTAAAGGTGTGAGCACCTTACTGAAGGAGAAGACTGGGCTAAGCGGTTTCATCCACTTGGGCACTTGGGGGTAGTCTCGCACGTTGATCACCATTTCCATGTCAGGGAGGCGGCTGATGATCCCCAGAAGGAAGTGCTCAACTCCACTGCACCTGTGGAGAAATGACATACGGCAGAGCTATAAGGAGAAGGCACAATCCTGCAGTCTCTCACAGGCCTCCCTCTCTGTGCAGGAGTCAGCCCAAGCGATACCATGATACAGGTTGGGAACTGTCTATAGCAGCCTCCAATGGAGCACAGACACCAATGAAGCAACTCATCCTGTGATATCTGGCCTGAACTGCAGCTTTCTCTGGGATCCCACAATCAAACAACTGAAGTTACACTGAAGTGCAACAATGACACTTGCCTCTTGGCTACATTTAAGCTGCATACACAATTTTCTAGGCTTCTGCTCTGAGAAGGAATTCATAGAATCATAAAATCACAGGGGTTGGAAGGGATCTCTGAAGATCATCGAGTCCAACTCCCATGCTGCAGCAGGAACACCTAGGGCAGATCACACAGGAACGTGTCCAGATGGGTCTTGGAAAGTCTTCAGAGAAGGACACTCCACAGCCTCTCTGGGGAGCCTGTTCTGGGCAGCTCTGTCACCCTCACAGTAAAGGTTTTCCTCACGCTGAGGTGGAACTTCCTGTGTTATAACTTGGTGCTGTTTCTCTTCGTCCTATCACAGGGCACCACTGCAAAGAGACTGGCCCATTCTTGACATCCACCCTTCAGATATTTATAGAAGTTAATAAGGTGCCCTCTTAGTCTTCTCAAGTCTAAACAGCCCCAGGTTTCTTAGCCTTTCCTCATATGACATACATTCCAGTCCCTTAATCACCCTGTTTGACTCTTTCCAGTACATCCCTATCTCCCTTGAACTGGGAAACCAGAACTGGACACAATACTCCAGATGCAGTCTTATGAGGGCAGAGTAGAGGGGAAGAAGAACCTCCCTTGACCTGCTGGCCTCATTGTTCTTAATACCTCCCAAGATTCCACTAGCTCTCTTGGCCACAAGGGCACATTGCTGTCCCATGGTTAACTTGTTGTCAGGACCCCAATGTCCTTCTCCATGGGGCTACTTTCTTGCAGATCAGCCCCGAATTCAGACCTCTAAAATACCTTTGGGCTCAGTGACTTTTAACTTGGTAGAAATGGACATACTCTGGTGTCTCAGTTAGGGAGATGAGATCTTCTGCACAGCTCTTACCTTGCAGGGAAAAAGCAGTCCTGTTCGCGGTACAATTTGTTCTTAATGACTTGGTAGTGTGTCCCGAGCTTTCGGCTCACCACTTCTGACATCATCTCCTCGGAAATGCCACCTCGAAAAGGAGCCAGGTCCTGCTTCCAGACACTGAAACAAAATAATCAGCTATTATTATGTAGAATAGGGAGCTCTGATACGTAAGGCATAACCAAGAATTTAATTGAATTCACTCACAAGAGCTGTTACTCAGAGACGCCAAGGTCCGAGCTTCACTCTGACTGAATGTGCTGTTTGCCTAAGTAGAAAGCCCAGGAGAGGACTCTTAATGCTAAATCAACATGGACATCTTTAGCTGCTCCCAGAAAGCAACATACATACCCTGTCAGGTTATGGGTAAAAGACTTCAACTCACTTAACCTTGGAGTTGTAAAGCTTGTGCTCTGGCCTTCTACGAATGATGGGCCACACCAAGACCAAACTCCTCACATACAAGGGCTTGTACCGAGAGGACAAGGGCTTGTAGTGAGATGACAAGGGGTAATGGCTTTAAACTGGAAGCGGGGAGATTTAGGTTAGACATTAGGAATAAATTCTTTACTGTGAGGGTGGTGAGGTACTGGAACAGGTTGCTCAGGGAAGTTGTCGCTGCCCCATCCCTGGAAGTGTTCAAGGCCAGGCTGGATGGGGCTTTGAGCAACTAGTGGGAGGTGTCCCTGCCCATGCAGGGAGGTTGTATCTAGATGATCTTTAAGGTTCCTTCCAACCTAAACCATTCTATGATCATGTCATGCTATTTAGACATAAAAAAAAAAGAAGGTAATAGTCTAGTCACAAGGAGACACATTGCCGAATAATGCACTGAAAGTCAACCCAACACAACAGACCTGTGTAGCATGGTTCTGTGACATCTACACACCACCAATGAGCTTCAGGAATTCAGTATGAAAAGATAAACCAAACACATATAAGAAAATTTGCAATTTATATAAATTCAGTCTAAAGATCCTCAGATCTGAAAGAACCACATGATCTCCAGAGATCATCTAGTCCAATTCCCCTGCTAAAGCAGGATCACCGAGAGCACATCGCACAGGAACGTGTCCAGGTGGGTTCTGAATGTCTTCAGAGAAGGAGACTCCACAACTGCTTGGAGAAGTTAACAAACACTGTTGCAACAGCCATGGAGACCTAGTCCCCACTTTTTGTTAGACACTGCACCACTGCCTTGGTTTCATACAACACTGTTGTTGTGGTGAGCGGGAGTCAGACACACAATACTCATAGAGTTATGGTGAATGCTCCATTTTATTGTTAGGTACATCAGTATATATAGGTTTATTACAAAGATCATTACGTCTTCAATATGCTAACTGATTGGTTAGTAATTACTAATTGCTCACGCTTTATGACGAGCTATAACTTTGATACTTTAGGCGCTGTAGTAAGTTACTATTTGGATACTTCTTCTGCTAAACCTGCATCTTGTTGAATATGGTCTTCTTTGTGGTCTTTGTGGCATCAGCATCTCTAACTGGTCCTGCTTCAGTTCCTTCTTTGTATTCTGCTGTTAAAAAGTTCCTTTAACCTGTTACTAAAGTGTCCTTCTCTCCTGTTTCTTGCTCGTACAGCTCTTCTGTTCCCTGCACGAACAGCTCTAGTATTTTTCCATGTCCATTGCTGTACAGAAATTCATCCACACACTGTCAGGGTGATCCCACTGTGAATGTGGTCAAACACTGGCACAGGTTTCCCAGAGTGGCTGTGGAGTCTATTCTGTGATATTCGGGACCTGACTGGACAGTCTTTGCAACCCTGCCTGAGCAGAGGAGTTGGACTTGAGGATCTCCCTCTAGGATTCTGCTATTTTGTAATCAGGTAGAAAATGGTACAGCTACATAAAGAATTTCAGTTTTATGGCACATCTATGTCACTGTAACCAAAGTGACAATTGAAAGGTAACAATGAACAAGTCAGGAACCTTCAGTCCTTGGCCACTGAGTCACAGAAGACTAAACACAAGTAGAATCTACTATATGGGAAGAAGTACTGGCTTCCAGTGTTCTACTGCATATTCACACATCTCCAAATCAATTACCAAAATGAGCAGAATTTCTCAAGTGTCACAAAGCGTATGTGTTGTATTATCTTCCTGGATTCTTTTGTAATGCCTGTTGCTGTAGCAGTGCCCCTGAGCAACCCTTAAATGAACTACTGCTTTAGTGAAAACTAGGTTTCAAGACTCACAGCAACCTCAACTTCATGCTACTAACAACTATCATGATCTGAAGCAGATTTGGAGGTTGTGACCACTTGGGAAGGTGTTCTATCCAAAGGTGGGCAGGAGCTGGTGGAGTGTATATTTAAAGATTAGATGTCTTTAGGCTGTATCTGAATTGAAACTTTGGAAAAAGACTGGGAGGCTAAACTAGAAGAGACTTTTCCTCATCAGTATTTGAAGAGCAATGAAGATCAAAAACTCCAAATAGAGTGTACAAACAGTTGCTTAGTATGACTTGCCTGAGATTAAAAGCCAATATAGCACTCAATCTCACCCCCAAAATGAGTGAGTACATCCGGTACTTCTAAGTAGGAGGCTTAAAGTTGAGCATCTGCATTTCTGCATTTGGCATCCTAATCCTAAAGGCCGAATATGTTGACACTTCCCTTAATTATTTCTTCTCCTTTAAAAAAAAAAAAACCAAATGCTGCTTAAGGGTATCAAAAAACACAGTCTAACAATCCCTGCCCATATGGCAATGATGACCCAAGCACCTGTAATTTCTGCCACGGTGCTGCCACCCTCCATCAGTGGGAACAGAAAGGAAGTTTGGTTTGGCTACGTCTACATGACAGAGCAGCCTGCACTTTTACTGCCTGCAGTGGTCTTGCATCACACATAAGCCTCTAGCACTATATTCACTCTAGGAAGATTAGGACAGCGTTTCAAGTTAGGAGTGCTGGCATTATGCATCATGCTCTACAGTTATTAAAAAATAAACAAGACTTGTGTCTTCCTGAATGAGCTCCTCTTGGATCATGTTTTAATCATGTCAAGGTTGGGTAGTTAAATATCCACCATCACTCCAGTTCTCACAAGGAGTGACCTAAACTCCCTAGAAAGAACACCAAGTACAACACGCTATCACATCAGACAAATCCGTATTCGGTAACAACCTTTCTTCAGCTGGGTATTTAAAATATTTTGCACGTACTTGTCTTGTTCCACTTTTAAAAGCCCGTAAGAAAGACCTCCTAGCAACGCTGTACTGAGAGAGAAGACAGAAGTGGATTGTCCACACAGAAAGGTTGCCAACTGTGTATGGGTTTATTTTATGATCACATATGAAACACTGACAGGGTCTGTTCATAGAACACCAGGTAGGAAGGGTCCTCAAGGATCATCTGGTCCAACCTTTCTTGGCAAAAGCACAGGCAAAAAACAAAGTTTGTTGTTCAACAATCACAGGGGACAAGGAGAGTTATCAGTTTGTAGGTGAACACACTTTTATTGGAACTATGGGAGCCAGCCTCTTTCAAACACTGCCATTAATGACTTCCTCCTTGCGACCTCTGTGACCTGCGACGGCTGCAGACACGACATTTTAGAGCCTAAATATCCTGCAGTTAATTCCCATCCATCAGTGCTGGCAAAAGCATTCCCCCTCACGGCCAGAGGCCTGTGTGGACAGAAGAAAACCAGTTCCTCACCTTTGGTGGCAGCTACAGTTCTCCTTTACACATGGCTTATAGCCTTCCACAGCCTTCTCAATTTGGTCAGTTAGAGTTTTCCACTTGGCATCTAAAACACGCAGGAAGGAAAGGTTAGAGAAACCGACCTGTCCGAGTGCCAGAGCCACCTGTGGGAGCAGAACAGCGTTTCCAGCGTTGTACCCCTGCCCCGCAACACACCCCGTCCCGCTGCAGCCCCGCAGCGCAACTTCAGCGCGCCTGGAGCAGAACGGGGAGAGAGAAGCCACGGCGGGTAAGGAAAGGGGAGGCCCAGCTGAGGGCGATGGGGATGGGGCAGCGGGTCGGGCATCCCGTAGGGCATCCCGGGCTGGAAGGGGAGCCGGGAGGAGCCTGCGACCGGGCGGAT